ATCCTAAACATTCTTTCTGCCTTGATCATCGATACATTTTTGACATAAGCTTTCTCAGAAGCATTCATTTAATAAAAACAATGAAGAATAAATGTGGATCCAGGCAGAATACGCGCGCGCGCGCGCGCGAATATCGATCACCACAACTTTACTTCAATTACGATAAGAGCATTAATTAATAACGAATTCAATTCATGACCGTTTCGCGGGTTACGTAAGGAATTTCTATGGCGTCTTCCGTTTTCGGAAGGAAATATCAAGGCTTTCACTAGCCGGAACCGTGGCCGCTTACCAACGATCGTATTGTTGCATGACGCCATTGTTTCCTTTCGTGGTTTTCGTAAGTGGTTTATACGAACCGTGACAGTGCGAGGTGTGTAGCAATTCTGTTGACCTAATGAGCATGCGGCGAGAGAAAGAGTTGTAATTTCGCACGGACGGCGATAAACCAAGGGGTTACAAAAGGATACAGTGCAGAAAGAGCCACGGTGTGTACTTTTCTAACTGTGTAAAAGCATTAACGGCGGGGGAATTTTCAAGCCGGCACGCTTATACGAGAGGAAACACGTGTTACGTGGCGGATAATCTAAATATTTAGAGAGCTGCTTTTGCGCAGGTCGGATTGTAAACGTTTTTCCAACCCACCTTCCTGTTTCACATAGTATTTTTTATAGAGACGCGAGGCTCCGCTACTATTTTTACATTTAATATGTTTCGTTCAAACATCGTAATAATCGTTTTATAAACAATTCAAAATGTATGGAATAGAAATGTTTCTTGAACAGAAACCAATTCGTTAAATCATGGAAATTGAGGATTTTAAGGAATGATTGGGGTGAAGCATTGAAATCGATTTTTACGTGAAAACTAAATCCATCGAATTCGAAATCTCGAATCAGATAAGAAGTCAATGATCGGAGAGACGCCCTCGTATTTTTGCGAACCGGGTCGACGGATTTTGAAAATAACAATAAATTCGCAGTCACACCTGGCGAAATGCTCGATAACGCAGGCGGTGCAGCGATACGCGTGTCCAATTCGATGTACAGTTAGGTATGCGTTTGATACCGAGCGCTCGTAAAGATCAGTAAAAATCTTAATAAGCGCGGCGTGTATTCCTCGTATCGGCACCGTAATTCTCTCCCTAGCTACCGTGCCGCGAGTCCCATTAAACTCTCACGGCGAGGCTTTGGTCTAAAGGAGAACCGGAAGATCGTAGCCGTTTCATTGCTTATCTAACGCTGCTTGCGTAACACGTGCGTTAGAAATTGTCGCAGGGTTACACTTTGGAAAATCGAAGAGGAACAAAATAGAAATCGCGTTTTAACGACGACGGCTTTCACCGAAATATCCTCGTAAACCCGTGAACGGGTTAATCGTTCGATAAAATGTAAACTCGTACCGCGAAATCGTCATGCGAAACTTGAAACCATGTGTAATTATTATTCACACAGAGAAGATAGCGTTTACTGCCGGCTTATCTTCATTGCCAGATTAAATTAGCCCGGTTGCAATTAAGGACGAACGATGACGTCGCGGACTTCCGTGAATTTATTATAATCTCTGGTTTAAATGAATTACAAGGTTGCGTCGTATGAGGAAATTCTACTTCTCACGGAATAAATATTACCGCCTGTTTACTCGTGAAAATTACCGATCGCTGTTTTACTAAATAGAATTGATGCGAGACGGCAGGCACTTTCTCTTCGGCGTTATCTCGACTCTCGTCACTTCGGGCATAAGCGATTATCACCTTTTTAGACGAGGCACCGAATTGATCTCGATGAAATATCTAAGTGCCGGTAATGTGCTTGGAAACTCGGCCGGCGTCGATGCGTCGATACAATGGCACGAGCCTACGTGTAAAATCCGTGTAGGTAGTCACTGACATTTTCAAATGTCAGCGGACCCTCTCGCAACGCGCTCTTTATCATTCGAACATTTTCACCACTAGAACTTAATTCAATCGGTTCCTGTGATAACAGCACACATCTGTGACATAACACTATGCTTTCTACCTTTCTTCGTTAGCTGATGTTTACACTTTTGTTTTTTGGATAGTTCTGAATACATTATGTCACTTTCTAAACATACCGTGTAACTTATTGGGCAATGGGAATGTGAAAACCTTCGGAAGAATTTAACCTTTTCATCGAGCAGTGAATCGTTGATCGTATGAACAACTTTTGTATCAACGTGCGTGCAAGATGTGTACCAAAAAATAATAAAAAATTGAAATTCGTTTTTTAGACTGAATCGCGTTCGGCTGTTAATTACGCGTGACGAATTAGACGTAACGAGATTTCAACGTCCAAGGCTGTTCACGGTCGCGTTTCACTGCTAACGAGCGATCCACATTTCCTAAACCGTGTAACGAGGCTGGGAAACAAATAGCTTTTGTAACCAGGCAGGTTTGATTGGACGATCGTGTAACACTCGAAACGGTACCCTTTCCGGATCCTTATTACCACGAGATTATACGTCAATTCGCTAGTTCTGATTGATGCAACGACTATAATCGACGCTGGGACGTCGGCGCTGACCTCGGTTTAAGTGTCGTTTAAATCGCCCTGCTTCTTCTCTCCCATCGGTTTCAGTTCTAAATTTACGACTTTCTCTGGCTAACGTGGACTCAAAGCACAGTTTCGCTTTATTCCAATGCAGAAACCCAGTCCCGACGCATTCTCACGTATGCATTTATTAATTAATTTTATTACACGAGTACAAATACAATTTATTTTTTACGTGATGAATACGAATTAATTATCGTAATAAGCTTGGACATGGGAAAGGATGCTGTATGACATTATGAAGCCGTCGATAAATCTTGCTAGAAAGTAGTATGATCCTACATTAGACTGGCCAATATGCCAATTCACGTTCTTACACCGGTTGACATAGATTCCTTGTTCTCACTGTCATATCATTTTTACGTCACTTAATTACGTTTTTAGATATATTATATGTTTATACGTGGCTAACGAGATTCGTCATGATTGATGACACTCGCGGAACCTGTCAGCCGATGACCCTGATGCTCACTGATTAAAACTTGCTACGGTTGCACGTATCCAGTTTCATTACGTAACGAGACTGTATAATTATAAATTAACATTACCATTGTTAACGTATTCGTTAATTCCAATTATTATCGATGAAGTATAATAAGAGCCAATCGTTCGTGTACAATTATGATCAAACGCAATAAGTTTGATTCAGGTATTTATCATCGATCATTCTCGCAGTGCAATTATCGAATTTATCACGCTGACAACGGTTTCTTTTCTGTGTCAGACTACTCGAACCGTGAACGGAATTAACGCGAAGGACGATCGGTTGAAGAAATAGTTTGTCGTCGTACGCTATTAGAAATTGTACGATCGATTTTAGAATCGTATGTGACTGACGAATGTGTCAGGAAATTGCGGAAGCTTACCACCGAGTGATCCCGAACGTCAGGATCCGCTGGTCGCGACGGGACGCGCCGATCAATAGGAGACCAAAGGGCACATGTCCCGCTAGCTTCTCACGCGGTGCTGCTGCTCCCGAGCTTGGCGGGCATGTCGTCTCCCGACGACGGATAGTCCAACGATTCTCAGGGTAGACGATCACGCACCACCGGAAGAACGTTTATCGGAAGTGGTACGAAAATTGCGAGATCCTCTATCGTCACGTTGGATGTTCACTCGCGGTCTCTCGAGATCGTCGGAGGACTTTGCTGGAAAATTCACCGGGTCACTAGATGAGGCTAGAAGTTTCCATGAATGGGAGTGGGCGCGAGACACTGTCAAATCTACGGCGGCGGCGACGGGAGCGGGGCGCGTGCATCGATTCCGTCGACTCGCCGCTGTTTCGTCCCGTCGAGGCGTAATCGTGTTTAGGGGCGACGAACGACGGCGCGGGGATGCGGGCGACAGCGCGAAAGCCGAGAAAAGTTGGGACACTGGCCTGTCGGCATATCGGGTAGACCGACGACCCGGCGCGGCTCCACCAGCGACGCACTGCGCCGACGTCGCGACGACGACGTCGTCGTCACCTAGGCGACCGTGCGACCTCTCGTCGACCGGAGGGTGGATCGATTAATCGAAACGCGAGATATCGAGCGCCGAGAGCACTGGATACTTTTACGTGCTTTTAAAACCTTTTGTACCATCCGACCGTTTAATGTGCAAATTCATGTGTGCCGAACTTTTCGAGCATTCAAATTTCAGCAAAAAACACTGGAAATTTTACAGTCGTTTAAACAGTGTAGCAATTTTAATNATATTTATTAACATATTTGTTTATAAAAGAATTATCAAGTGTTGCACCGTCCCAAAGAGAACCTCGAAGAGGATTTCTTCCTCTTAGGTTCGCCCGTCCAAAGACCAAAGGATTACCTTGACAATCGTCCTGAATCTTGGAATTTCTCGTACGTTTCTCACCCCCTAATTAATTACAATAATTGCACGAAGTGCTTGAAATTCGTAGCTTCTTTCGTGTGTTCGAGGAAACCACGACGCAGGAGGACGTGTTCGAGAACGTCGCGCGACCGGTAGTGGAAAGGTAAAAGGAATTGTATCGTTCGTTAATTAGCAATACTTGACACTCGATCGTTCACTCAGCTTTGCAATTCTTTATATTAAAGCGCCCTCGATGGTTACAATGGCACCATTTTCGCCTACGGCCAGGTAAACCGAGATTGAACGTTCCCAAAAATGTGGTACAAGCAAATCATTATTATAATTAAAATATTCCTTTTAATCATAAAAAAAAAACATTCTCTTTTATGCAGGATCTTTGTTTTTTTTTTTTTAATTATTATAGTAGTTCAGATGTGAGAACTTCATATTTTGTATAAATGACTGATGAAAATTTGAAATGAAAATTTCTATTCATGATTGAAATGAAAATTTCTATTCATGATTGAACGACGAATGAAATCTGATTAATCTTGTACCACATTCTGGGTTTCGGTTGGAAGAGACGGCTGACCTCGAGCCGCGATCAACTTGCTTAGACGGCCAGCGGGAAAACGCACACGATAACCGGGAAACTGGAAGACGAGTACCGCGGCATCATACCGAGAAGCTTGCAACACCTGTTCGACGCGATACGAAAGGTTGCGTTTGGTAGACGGTACGTAGGATACGCGCAGAGAACCGTACACCGCCCTTAAATTCCATGCAGCGGCCGGAAAACGTGTACTCCGTCGAGGTGGCTTATCTGGAGATATACAACGAAACCGGCTACGACCTGTTGGATCGGAGGCACCAACGAGAATACGCCGCCACCAGATTGGAAGATTTACCGTAAGTCACGTAAACGGTTAACAAGTGTTTTGTAAAAACCCTCGGTCTACCTAAACGGAGAGACTTCCAATATGGAGTACCGTGCAGCTGCGACTTCATCTCTGGATTTAATAAAAGAAAATACAGAATGGACTGCACGTGAGTTTCAGGCGCGTCAGCCCTCAGGAAGATGAATTTGGGGTGCTTCATTTGAAGAACTTGTCGTTTCACACTGTTCAAAGTGTGGAGGAGGCGTTCGAATTACTTTTACTAGGCGACAACAATCGGTACGACGATTTTAAGTGAATTGTCTTAATTCAATTCGTAATTCGTGTGATTATTAATAGAATCATTGCTGAGACACCGATGAATCCTCAGTCATCAAGGTCGCACTGCATCTTTACCATCGTGATAGCCACGAAGCAGTTCGGTGCTGAACAGTACAAAAAAGCGAAAGTGCACCTGGTGGACCTGGCAGGGTTTGTATCATCACCATCGACTGAAGGTACAGGCTGGAAACCCGGCAAGCCTCACTTCCGTCAAAATTAGAAAAAATAACCATCTCGTCTTTCGAGTAATCTCATATAATTCCTTTCACAAATCACGTTTTCCTTCGATGCATTTCCTTGGCAATATGAAACAAATTGCTTCTACGTTAAACGCATCAATCGTCGGTCCACTTGCCTGTCCGTTGATGCTTCCTCATTGCCATCTGCGTTTTTCTGTAACGGTACCCGATTATTTGTACGGTCCGCGTAGGTCCGAGCGCGTCTACAAATGTTCGATAACCGGCACCATTCTAACCGAGGCGAAGCACATTAACCTGAGCCTACATTACCTCGAACAAGTCATAGTCTGTCTGGGTCAGGAGAACGCGGGTCACATTCCTTACAGGTGCTAAATTTGCTTGCGAAGACCGAGAGTACAATCATAAATAAATTACCCCATTATCCCCTTTTGGTATTTTTATTTCACCCTTACAATGAAATCACGAGTGCAGCGTTTTATAATTTTAGAAAGAACTGCATCTTCGTTAACACTAGATTGCCCAAGGAAGTAATTTTGACTGCTTTTGGGCAAATGTACAAATAATAATGCATAAATTATTTTTTTTTCCCAAGTGAAGTAAATTTTTTTTATTGTTAACATTTACTAATAAC